AATTCCTGGAGGGGCACCTGCTTCTTGTACATGCTACCTTTAGTCTTTCCTGCACTGGGTTTTCAGTACTCTCTGTGAGTAGTATGGTCTGTTTTCCTCTGGATTCTCATGTGGTTGTTAGTGTGCAGAGCTCTTTATGCTCATATAGTCCTTTATCTTGCAAGTGGGGACATTAGTTTCTCCTTCCTGCCAGTTTCCCTTTTCCATGGCCATCCTGTTTGTGAAAGGCACCAGACTAACCGCCCTGGACACTGGTATACTCCATGAATCCACAGAAGTGTGGGGGGGACGTGGGAAGCGGCAGGGCAAGTGTAGGTTCACACACACGGCTCCCTTCATCCTATGCCTTGGCAGTGTGCGTCAGGTCTGATCTGTGACAGTTATAAAAGGTACACCCACCTTGTCTCTCCAACAACTACCCCAGAGCGTAAGAAGCTGGGTCACTCTGCAGACCTATTCAGTTCTCTGCTCAGCCTGCCATGAAAGGTGCCAGTTGATGCCTGTGGTGATGTTCACTGGGGAGATGGTACACCAGATGGGAACAACTTACAGCTGCTATTGATCTGGGCTGCATTTGAACCAATGCTGTAGAGGTGACAAACTCCAGTTCCAATACCTTATCTCCTAATCCCTCTAGCACCTATCTTAGATTTAATAATTCTTGGTACAAGTTGGTCATCAATGTTAGACTTAACCAGCATGATAGTGTGCAGTCTTGCCTCGTTCTTGTGCCCCTTGATGCTCCGAAGGGGATTGCTGCTGCTCTTGCTGTTGTGGTGGTGTATAGTGTGGTTGTGGTGTATGTGGAGGTACACCTGACAGCCCGGGTTTGTTTTCTGTTTTGGCAATCCACACCTACTCTTTCCTGCTGAAGATTCACATTCAGATGGTCAAACAGAACTGCCCCCATCCCCCATACTAGTGTTGGCATGTCACAACACAAGCATTGCTTTCATAGCATGCTGTCTCACAAACATCGGCCATCTTCAGGCAAATATCGTAGGGTGATGACATTGCATCTTCCCCAAAGTGAATGCGGGACAGTGGTAAAATTGTTACTGCCCCACACAACTCAGCAAGCTTATTCTGAGGCCGCACATTCATACTGTATTCAGTGTGAGCTCTCATGGGACCTGCACAAATGCCACCTTGTGGCTGGAGCACTGTTTGGTGGTTAAAACAAAGGAGTGTGGAAAGGAGATGTGGGTTCTACTCCCAGCTTTGACAGTGACTTGCTGCATGACCTTGGCTGAGACACTGCCCCTCTTTCCACACCCACTCTGCATCGAATGACACCTATACTCACTAACTCACATTGGCATGCAGATTCATTAGTGGCTGTGAAGCGCGTTGAGATCCTAGGCTGGAAGGTGCTGGGAAGATCATTACTGACACCGATAAGACAGGCTCTGCTGTGCTGCAATTCTCATAATGTTACCACCGCTGCTGCTGCTTCTGTCCTCCTACCCCCAGCCCTGCTCCATTAACGGCTGCTGCTGCTCTGTGGTGCCTCTCCCTGACTCTCAAAGGAAAGAGGAAAGCATTACAGAGTTGCCACCTGCCATCTGTGGATAGGAAAGTAACCATTCCCTCAATGTGCCCCCTTTCCAGGATGTGAAAATGGTATGTTCAATTAAAATGCCCTTCTGCTGGGACTGGCTGCCAGTTCCCAGGAGATGCAGGTACAAATGGAGCTGCCATGCACACTGGAACTCTGAGGTTATTATTGCACGTTACTTTTTTATTGCAGCAGATGTTAGCAAGAAGATACAACAATAGGTGACAGGAGAAGCCTTTCAAATATACAATACCAGCACATCAGCCTCTTGTGAGTAAGGTTGACACTTCAGGCAGTTGTAGGCACCATGTGCTGTATCTCAGCGTTCCTGGATTTAGCTGAGGTCTTCTGCCAGCCAAGTAGGGAATTGGGAGGATGCTTTAGGGGGACTCTTTTAAGTGCTGGAGCAGTTGGTGGTTGTTTTGGAGACTGTACTCTTAGTGAAAGGCTGGGTGTCTTTAATGTGGATGCTTGGGTTGATGTCAAGCATGACGAAGCCCAGCAAAGATTGGAACTGGTTAAGTGAACATGCAGGAAGGGCAGTGTTAACAAAGGGCAAACTTCAACAGAGTCCGCAGCAGAGATTAGGACAAAATTAATTTCCAGGAGCCTGATTCTTCACTGCTTTGTACCCTGTGATGTCATTTGTTCCTTTGCAAAGTGGTTGCAAAATGCTGCAGAATCTAAGTGACAGCACTGTACACCCGCTTTGCACAGCTGTAAATGAGAACGCAGGGTGCAAGGCAGAGAAACAGGTCCCAGACAGGGCCTGGAGCAGGCTCGTGCTTGGGGAGGCAGATTCCACAGGGTGGCATTCCGCCCAATCCTAGGGCAGCACGGCCGTCTTTTTTTTTTTTTTTTGATTTTGCTGATCCAGCCGCCTTGTAAGGGGCGGCAGCGCGGAGGAGGGGCGCAACCTGCTGGGAGCAGGCTGCGCACTCCGTCTGCCCCAGCTCCGTCTGCCCCAGGTCTATAGCAAGCCCGGCAGGGCAGCCTGCGTCCTTCCCTCCCCGCCGACCGGAGCGGCGCAGAGCTCTCCCGGCCGGCAGTGCGGTAGTTGGGGCTGCGTGGCGAGCGCCCCACTGTAACCCTGGCCACCCCCCTTCTCTCTCTCCCCCCGCTCTCTCCCCCTCCCCCCCCCGCTAGCCGGGGCATGTCTGCAGTGCAGGGAGGCCCCCTGCACCCTGGCTCCGGCCGCCCCGCAGGTTTTTTGTTTGTTTGTTTTTTGCTTTGCCATTCTGGCTGCCCCGGTTTTGTTTTTGGGTTTTTTTGGTTTTTTTGGCTTGGGGCGGCAAAAAAGCCAGAGCTGGCCCTGGTCCCAGATCTCAAATTCTCTGGAAATTCATAGATTTACATCTCCTCCCTGCACCTGCCCCCAGCCCGGGTCCCCTGCACTCTCCCCACCCCACGTTACCTGTTGGGAGTAGGGGGGACTCTATCCTCCCACTGCACTGGCTCCCCCTCCCCCCAGCACGTTCAGCTTCTCTCCCGGGCAGCTAGGCCTGGCCCAATGCAGCACAGCAGCTGCCTGGGAGAGCACCTGGCTGCAACGGCGGCAGGCTGCCCCCCACGCTGGCTGGGATGATTTAGTTGGGAATTGGTCCTGCTTTGAGCAGGGGGTTGGACTAGATGACCTCTTGAGGTCCCTTCCAACCTTGATATTCTATGATTCTATGACAGGGGCTGAGTGAGCCGGAGCCCCACCTTCCCCGTGTGCAGCAGCAGCTGCCCGGGAGAGAGGCTGGCTAGGGAGGGGTGGCAGCGGACCGCTCTGGCTTCCGGGGATAGGGGCCGACTCCGAGTATGCTGGGGGGAGGGTACTCCGGCTTGCCCTCAGCCCATCCCAGAAGCCGAGCCTGGGTGGGAGGCAGCCCCCTGCCACTGCAGCCAGGTGCTCTCCCAGGCAGCTGCTGTGCTGCACCAGGCAGGTCATCCAAGCCCTTAAAAGTTCAGATGAACCATCACTAAACTTTACGAGTCTCTGGAGAAGTTGCAAATTTGGGCTAATAGTCTTGGGAGAAGGTGCATTTCCTGTGCTGTATTTTCTGCTATTAGTAGAGCTTGTGCCATATCTCCTCCAGAATGGTGGTTCTTTAGGTTCTAGCCTCAAAGCTGGAGATACAGAGGCAGCACTCAAACAAATTGGGTGGGGGGAAAAAGTTCTCACGCCTCCAAGGTTCAGGGTTTCCCATTCAATGGCAGGTGCGGGGAAAGGTTTGGCAGGGTGGCATGTTTATTATATTATATCCAAAGCAGCCCAAGCATCTTTGTGACAGAAGCATAAACCTCTTGGCTTTAAAAGTGAGTTGTTTTCCTCTTTAATGGCTACATCTTTCCGTTCTGTAACAGCAGTAGAGTAAGGGAAAGCATGTGGCTTTTGCTTTAAAAGGCTTTCCTTTGACTCCTTCTACAAGCCTGTTCTCTTTGGGGAGTGACTTATTTCATAATTAGCCTCGGGACATAGGATACTGTAGGAGTGGAGGGCTGCGTTTGGGAGCAAGGGGCAGACATAGCTTCTCAGGGTCTCCTGATTTCTGGCAGAACTCTCACGAAGATTGGCCCTTGTTCAAAATGACTGCTGTCTGCCATTACATTAAAATGGACTGAAGCCACAGGAGGCCTACAGTCAAAATAGAGGCCATTTCCTTACAACTTTTCCATGTGGAAGTGAGTGTGCCCCTAGTAAAGATGGGCTGGCACTTCCCATTGTTTCCAATAGGACTGAAGCCAGGCTATCTTTGGTTATAATAACTATGAAGGGACAGGACTGGGAGGGAAACTCAGGTGGTGCAGGGGAATATACGAAGCAGAAGGGAGACTGAGGGGGGTGCAGGGGAAATGGGGGTGTGCAGAAAGGAGTCTGACAAGGTGTAGAAGGAATATCATGGGGGTGCTGGGGCATGGGAGACAGAGAGGGAGAATGTGCAGGTTAGGCAATTGTGAGGGGAAAGAAGGAAAAATGTAGGGGCAGGTGAGGGACAGGAGACTAGGGGACTGTAAAGGGAGAATGTGAGTTTACCCCAGGGCCAGGGGAGGGAAAGTGAAGCCCCCCTCTGAAAAGCCAGTGAGGAGGCCCACAATTTTGTGTGCACATCTAAGGTTGAATTTTGACCCTCACATGATCACACACTACGTGAGGGCAGGCGGCTTCCACCCTTAACAGCTCCAAAATCAGGAGCCAGCCAGTGTGAATTTAAACCTCATGATTTTGGGGGAATCTGGTTATTGAATACGGAGGGCTGTGGTCACAATATTCCCAGCATCACCTCTCCCTCCCCTGCACCAGAGCCTTCTGGGTAATCCCATTGCACTTGGCCAGCAGTTACTGTTGGATGCTTGGAGTGAACTTGTGGTGATGAGTGGAGAGGGTCTCTGGTGCTTTTGGTGATGAATTGTGTCCTTCCTTCTCCGTCCCCCCTCTCACCCCTCCCCTCACCCCCAGGTTTCGTCAGTTTTGACAATCCAACTAGTGCTCAGGCAGCCATTCAGGCCATGAACGGCTTCCAGATCGGCATGAAGAGGCTAAAGGTCCAACTAAAGCGGCCAAAAGATGCCAACAGACCCTACTGACCCCTGCTCACCCTGGCCCTGCAAACAGGTAAGGCATTGGCAGACCAGACTGCCCCCAACTGTGGTACAAGCAGGAGAGTGTGGGGGTAGGGTGGTGTTTTCACCAAATCATCTGTGCTTGCTGCCAGGAAGCCAGGGGGCAGTATGGCATCTCCTGTTGTTTCATTCATGCCAGGATGATGCTGACTTCTGTTGATCTGTGCACCGCTGCCATTTGTTGGAGAGTGTTGGACCTTTGACTTAGCTACCAAAACTGCTCCTTTAGCTCTGCCTTATTCTTTCGGACCTGGTAGCCCTGAGTTTGAATCAGTGTGGTCCAGTGGCTAGGGCGCCGGACGAGGACTCACTCCCAGATCTGCTTCTGACTGGCTGGGCGACCTGGGGCGAGTCACTGTCCCTCTCTGGGCTTCAGTTTCCCCATCTGAAAAATAGTGATAATGATGTTTTCCATTTTTTTAAAGTACTTTGAGATCACTTGGTGCTAGATATTGTTATTATTGGTGCTTCCTTCCGAGTTGGTGTCTTGTGCGTCATATGCAGCCACAAACCATTGCAAAGTCCCTGATCAGCAGGGATCCTAGAAATCCATTTGCCATGGAAAAACACAGAAGAACACGGAATTTGCATTTTTACAGAGAATCTTTGGGTTTCATTCTGGGTGCCCAGCTCTGAAGGCAGAGCGGAGAGCGGTGGCTGCTGGCAAGGCACCCAGCTCTGAAGGCAGCGCCACCAGCAGCAGCAGTGCACAACTAAGGTTGGCATCAAGCCATACTTAGGCATATGCAGCATACACAGCTGCATAGGTCACCTGAAAATTTGGGGGCACTCCTGGGTCTTAGTGTCCACCCACCCGCCTCTTCCTATCCCTGTTCTGACCCTTCCTGTAGGCTCCCACCACATCTGGCTGCTGCAGCCTGGTGAGTCTTCCTCCGGAATTGGATCTAGTACTTAAAAGTGAAAAAGCCTTCCATCCTGCCAGACCTATTAGCACAACATTGAAACTGTTAAAGAGCCACTCAAGTGGTAATGAAGCCATTTAACAGGCATTTGCCAACGCCCAGGTATATACTGTCAGTTTCTGAATTTACTGACAAAAACAGTTGTGCATTACTGTAATATTTACTCAGAACATGTTAGTCTACAAGACCTTAGTTTAAAATTTACTTTAAAAATATTTCATTAGTGTGTTGCTGAAGATTATAAAATCACATCTCTAAAAAAATCCTTGCATAGATTTTTAGATGCACAAACTGAGTATTCATCTTTAGCCTTAAATGCTGGGATCTTCAGACATATCATTTTTTAAATAAATCCTTCAAATGACCACCCTTATCTAAAATACACATGCGAGCCCAGGCTGCCGTCGGGCATAAGGGCACCAGTTTAATAATAGTGCCATAAATCCTAAAGACGGCCATGTGTGGCATGGTATGGTGTTGCCACCCTTACTTTTGCTGCAGTGCTGCCTTCAGAGCCGGGCACCTGGCCAGCAGCTGCTGCTCTCCACCCACCCAGCTCTGGACGGCTAGGGAAACCAAAGTTCAGCGTTTCTTTTTTAATTGTGAAAAAATGCGGATTTTAATGTTTTTTATCAGAGCATTTTGGGGTTTTTATCACAGAAAGCTAGGATCCCTGCTGATCGTGCACTGTTTATAGTAATGCATGGCTGCATATGCACAGCATATGCACATATGGAGATGTCATCAGCTACCTACCTACATGCAATAGCAGCATCAAGACTGATGTCCAAAAACACATGGGGTAACTACTCTCCTGAGGCAAGTCCCACAAATCTAGTCGAGGGCAGTGATGCACAAGCACATGGTGTGCCAACCACAGAGAGGATTAGAAGCTCTTTATTTGCTAACTGCTCAGGATTCAGCTTGTTTTCAGAGGGATAAGCACTAGGTTTGTCCTTGACCCTACTGGACTCACACCAGATGCCTGTTCCCACCACTTATTCAGACCATAGAGGTCACCTTCCAGACCGCCGAACCTTTCCCAGGTACACTAAGGGCACTTTCCAATAGAGATGGCTCAAGCTGCAGAATTGGGATCTGAATTTCAGAGAAGGGAAAGAATTGGGAGTGTTTGGATTCAGGGTGTGGGGGTCAGGTCTCTCTCTGCTTTGAAAGTGTGCTGGACTTTCCACTTCCAAAACGTCATCTGCCAGTACTTCCAGCCAGAGGTCTCTAAAGAGGACATTGTGTTTAGGGAAAGTCAGGCCTGAACTCGGGATGTCTGAACCATATTGGATAAAATCAGATTTTCAAACTGAATCTTCCCTAAAACTCAAACGCACCAGAACACCCCTCCCCCCCACAATATTAATCACACTACCACTCCTCCATCCAACCTCCATCCCAAATGCAACTGGACCAGAGCCCCCAAGCCCTTTCACAGGTTTAAAATGCTTTGTTCAAGTTTTATTTGCTATTCCCATTTTATTTTCAGGCACATTTTACTTCCCTGCCTCTAGCCAGGACATGTAAGCAGCAGACACTGAGCTAAAACTAGGAAACAGTGGGAGAAATCTAGTGAGAAAGCCTATTTATGCACCATTTCTAAGCTAGCTGCAAGGCCAAGGGACTAGGTGGGTTTAGATGAGTAACTAAAATCCTGGCTCTAAAGTGGGTCCTAACCTTTGGCTGATCACTATTTTGAATGTAGACAGTAGTGACTGGAGATGCTTGTGGAAGGCTTACTAGTCAGAAATTCGTGGCTCTCCAGATTGGCACTGTGCTGTACTAATCCTCATGGGAACATGACGGCCTTTAGATAGTGACATGGGGCCTATTACTCTGCCTCTTCCAAACACTGAGGGGGATGCAGCAGTTTGACCCTCTTTTAGAACTGGAGGGGAGAGGCTTCCACAGAAAATGTCAAGTTCCTGGTGAAAAATAAAAATCTGAATATTTTGGCCAAAAACTGAAATAATTTTATTCTGAAATGCTGCCGTAGTGCCTCATGGGTGCTGTAGTTTGGGTGTATCATACTCCCATTCTTCTCAGTTGGGCAGGCTCCCTGATCAGACTACATCTCCCAGGATGCACTATGGTCCCCATTCTTGATTAGGAAGCTGCATGGCCATGGTGCATCATGGAAAATAATGTCCAGCTACGGGTCCTAGCCTATACAGGAGAATAGGGTCATGAGGTACCTGAACTACAACTCCCATGAGGCACTGCAGCAACATATCCAGATTGAAATATTGTTGGTTTTGGCTGAAAACCAAAACAATTTCAGTTTTCACTCATTTCATTTTTTTGTTGAAAAACTGATGTTTTCCACAGGACTCAGATACTTTTTCAAGAAAAATGAATTCTGTCAAAAACCCAAATTTCTGTTAAAAATAGGGTTACCATATGTCCGGCTTTTCCCGGACATGTCCGGCTTTTCGGCAATCAAACCCCCGTCCGGGGGGAATTGCCAAAAAGCCGAAGATGTCCGGGAAAAATACCGGCCGTGCACTTCCTCTCCCGCGGCTGCTCTGCTCCTCCCTGGACTCAGACTTCGGCTCTGTTTAAGAGCCAAGCTGCCCGAGCCAGCGCTACCGGCTTCGGGCAGC